TTCATAGAGTTACGGATTAATATGTTTTCGAGTAAAGTTGATTGTCTATGAGTAGAATTCATATTATGACAAAAAATCTTGTACAAAAACCCATGAAGGCAAGAATATTTGTCGTCGCATCTCTGATTCTCTCATATACGTATTTAAAGCCACATCCTGATAGTTATTTGTATCTACTCATCAGGATTTCTTTCATCATAGGTGTCCATATTCTGGGTCTAATATCTTATTGTCATACTATTCTTCACGCTAATCTACACCACTTTCTAGTAGTTTTTCAGAGAATTCACATGAAATACAGTATATCAAACTTGATGTTGTTCGGTTCGGGACTTATTCCCATTGTAGGCAGCTAACTAGTACATCCTATAATCACGAAACTGTCAAAAGTGTTAACATCGTAGAATATCTAGTCATTCTGCAGAATAATCTCTGGCGTTGGAGTAGACATCACGATTGAAGAGAATAGAATTTGCACTGCGACACTAGTTTATACTGACAAAAGCTTCATTGTCATCAGAAAGCATAATTATTTTCAATGTTTTACATTGGAAAAGTATTCTCTTCGGAAAGAGGGCAAATTCAAAATAGAGGTCCTCATTCTTGCGATGGATCATTGTATACATGATAATCATTTTCGAATGACAAATCACCATGACACGTATGTACCAGCAGTACCATATATTTTGATTCACATGTGAGTTTCAAGGAGCTGCCGAATAGAGACACTGGTTTTACAGTTAGGTCCTCTCATTAGTTCAAATCAAGAGCAATAGCTGTTAGCTTCAAATATATCAAAGTAGAAATAAATGTTAAGTTTTTTCGGATATCTGAAGAGTTGGTTGAATGTTGCTGAAAATTAGCATATATCATAATGCATCAGAAGTGTCATATTCCGTACGATGAACCTATCAAAAACTAACGGCATAGTCACAATTATCACCAGTCTTGCATATTTTGAGGTTCACTTAAGCAAGAAACTCGCAAATTAATCTATAAATTATGATACCCAGTGATGTTCCTCTGTCCATCGAACGGTTTCAATAACTAACGAGAATCATAGTAATTAGTTACCGGTTCTCATAAAGCTGTTTTCGTATTTTTAGAAATTAAAATTTATAATATAGTTTTATTTTCGAAACTTCGAAGTTTCAAGTAACCTCGTTTTTTTCTGATGTTTTCAGTATAATATTACGTTCTGAAGAGAAAGGAATCATAAAACGGATTTGGAGTTAGAAGATGACATACGAAGAAGATGCTAGTGATCACAATACTTTTGGAATCGGCGTCTCCGATTAGTAATAGGTGTAGTGCTATAAATATTATATTAGTCTTGTTAAATTCATCAGGAATGACTGCCGCGTAAGTGCTGTTATTATAATTCTGTAACAAATTGTTCTTTAGACGTGTACATCGTGAATTCTTACTGTTGCAGGGTGACACTTAGACATAGTCATATGTTATAGATCAACTCGTGTACATTCATAGATGATGTTAAAATTTATATTTTGTTCGATCATATTGTTTACTGTTTTGAAAAGAAATGTATGTTGAAAACTCTTGCCATCGAATGAAAATCTGATTCTATGCTTATTTCATGGAAAATCTAATTTTTTTACACATCTGACAAAGCTTTTTGAAGCTAGCCCCTTTCCTATGAGCGAATAGATAAATTCGATGTATGAGTCCATTGAGCAGTCTATGAAACCAATGAATACCGTACCTCTCCAAACGAAGTTAATGAAAATGAATAAAGTTTTGATTACAACATGATTTAATGATTCTCATCTTCTAATGATTACATATAATTTTGGGTTTTCTTTTTCCCAATAGCAACAAAAACATCAACAACATCAACGTCAGCAACATCAACGTCAGCGACATCAACAACAACCACAACAAGTAAGTCCATCTTTGGATTTATAGTTCCATTAGACAATTTTTGCAAACAATACGTTGTCGATTGTATTCCATGAAACGAATTATTTTGTGAAACACGATCTGAAAGGACTGTTGAAGTATATAGAGCAGAAATTTGCCACCCATCCCTCGCCCTTCCCCTCCTTCTCCTCCCTTCCCTCTCCTCCCCCCTCCCACAGACTGTGACTGAGGAAATTCAGAGACCATCACAGACCGTGACAAAGAAGCTTTAGAGACCACCATAGACTGTGATAGAGGTACTTCAGAGATCATCACAGGCCGTGACAGAGAATCTTGTTCTAAAGCATCAGATAAACGGTTGGAAACAAATGTATCGTGAGAAATGGAACAATACAATTTCTATTGAATTAGAAACAACAGTTCCATCGTGTTTCACACATTTGATCCGGCAAGGGGTTACACTAACAGCTTTTTTATTTAAAAGAAAGTCGATTCGTCCGCGATTCATTATTTGATGACAAGTTCCACACGTCTTCGAATCTTCGCGATATCCAAAAGCTTTCTTGTTTTTTGAAATCGGAAAAATCACAGAAAATTGAGCGGATCATTAATATCACTCAAAAACAGCCGTAATGGTTGCTCCTGCATTTGTATTCTATCGTAAAGAATGAGGCATGAAAATATAAGTTGATTTAGTCGACTAAACGTGCAGCTACGATCTTCGTCTCTTCTTGAAAGTAACCTGGAACTTCAAGATATTTTCTCGGAGATCAAAAAGTTCTTTTGAAGAGTTCCTACCACTAATATGAGTTACACTTAGTATAGATTTGCTTGCATTCACAATGGATGTTAGAGAGTTTTGAGTTCTGTTCGAAATAAGTATCAATTAGTTGATCACATGCGTTTTAGCTACGACTACCACAACTGCTACATATGTGGCTAGTGCCTACTGGGCATTTGATAACAATGCACTTGAGCTTTATAATAACAGTTTAAATGGTGCTCTCTCTGGCAGCCCAAGCTACGTAACTGGTTTTAATCAATATGGCCAAGCCATCTACTTAATTCGTTCCTCTACTCAATATGTTTACATCACCCCGACAGTGCTTCCGTTCAATTCGCGTAGTTTCACAATCGAAGCATGGATCTATCCAATTAGTTTTTCAAGTAGCACTGAGTATGGAATATTCGGTCAATATCAATCGACTAGTACTAATTTATGTTTATACTTCGTAGTTCGAAGCAATAAATTATATTGCGGATTTTATAACAACGATGTGCAAGGTAGTACCTCTGTAACGACGAATCGATGGAACCATGTAGCTTGCACATATGATTCAAGTACGATGACACAAAAGGTGTGGCTTGACGGTAATCTTGATGGTTCACATTCTTCCAGTGATTACAATGGCTTGTGGGGAATAACAACTATTGGTGCCACTTTTGAATTAGGCAGTGCAACTGCATTCAATGGCTACATAGACAACGTACGATATGAATCTAGAGCTAAGAATTCAACTGAAATCCAGAATGACGCTACTTTACAAGTTTACTACTCGTTTGATAGTAGTTCACTTACAGATGGTGGTCCTAATGGTATCAATGGTACTGCTTATAGTGGAAGTCTATCAACAACTACTGGTCGAGTTAATCAAGCGATTCAATTTAACTCGGGACCCTATATAAGTTACTCATATCATTCATTCTATTTTTTGGGTGTCAGTGGTCAGTCATATACTATGGCTCTATGGGCAAAACCAACAGGAAGTTATAGGTCACAGACGCTTGTTTTTGTAGGAATAGGGGGTAGTTGGTGTGTTCACTTTTTGGTATGTACGTCGAGTGGACAGTTAAATGCCGTTGGTTGGATGGGTAGTAGTAATGTAATTGCAAATGGTCCCATCCTCACACTAAACACTTGGACACATATTGGCTATACATATAGTTCAACGAATGGTATACGATTATACATAAATGGTAACCTATACTCGTCAAGTGGTGCATTTACATTTTCAGCGCTTGGTAGTCCAGTGCCTATCATAATAGGTGGAGATTGAACTGTTCGTCAATACATGTGATCGACCATCTATTGAATCATTGCAATGTAGAGCTTCACTGAATAACATAAAATTTGAATGTACGAAATTCTGGTCTTACTACAAGCTGTACTCCTCTGTATGGGGGTGCATTTAATGGTGCCTTGGATGAATTTTATCTTTATAGACGAGAATTAACAGCGGCTGAGATTTCGTCGTTGGCCAATCCTTAAGCTAATACTAATCAGAATTTTACTATAGAACATGACTACTATGACATCTCTATACCTTACTCGATAAAAATTTTTTAGCGTTGAACCAAATTTGAGGATGCCAGTATGACTTAGAAATGATCAATTTACATCAAAACAATATTATTGAATCAAAAAATAAATTATATAAATTCTGAATTTAAAATAAATTTAACTATTTGGGAACGGTGGCCGTATATATACGGCTTTAATACTGAAATAGAGGGCGCAAGGCTCTAAGAAGTATACTCTGTTTCTTTTTCTATCAGAGAGTTCACTGACTGTAGGCCTTTACAACTACGAGCAAGCTCAAGAAGTATATAATTCATAATTCCAGGTTATAACGAATTCTAACAATATCGTTTACCTCTTCTTAAAAAAAAGCAAGCCCTCAAAGGATTAAATTATTGAAAATTTGAGTTTAAAATAATTTAATAAGTAAATGCCACCTATGATATAGGTGTGAATGTAACTCTTTGTGATCACCAAAGACACAACTCAGTAGACGCCGACACTCACCTACACTCTATGTCTCAATGCATACTCAACACCCACATTCTCTTCCTTGGAAATCTTAAGACATAAAGGAGTTTAAATCGAAAAAATCTTCAGCTTTTGATCTCACTTCCTATTAAATGACAAGATTGTTACCACCAGGCTATATTTTTTTCCTGGCAAACCGTTTGACTATATGGCTAAGAGAACATTTATATTCGGAAAAGTAAAAACTTGCAAAAATGGTAACACTAAAGAAATTCGAAGCAGGCATTCTATAATACGATCCAATCAGACCCATATCTCTTGTTATATATTTCGAAAGTTTTTAAAAAGTATTACTGGAAACAGCAATACATCGAGCAAATAGTATTTGATTCGTGCCATCTGAACAGTCCGAATGTCATCCGAGCGGGTGTGGGTGTGGGTGGATGTGAGTGTGGATATGAACGTGAGAGAAGACACCCACACCCACACCGCCAACCAGATGCTAGTCATTTTACTCTACGTGTTCGACATTCAGTCAACATTCCAGTATTTCGTTTTATGTTTTTTTGTCTCTTTCTCTCGATGATGAGCCTTGTTTATGTAAAATGTTATGTTCGAAGTGTTCCCCTTCGAACATAAGACGGAACGAAACGAATAATGAGTACTCCTTTCTAGTACAGTGGTTAATACGACTGCCCGGAAAGCAGGAGATGCATGGTTCGATTCCATGCGAAGGGAGATTATTCTTTTGTTCCGTTCTGTGGTCATACCATCACGTTGCTATCTCGCTGATAACAATGCGTAACATAAAAGAATAAATAAATGTATATTCTTTGATTGAAAAATAACTTTGATATGCACACACTCGCTGTTTATTAGTAAATAGAATATCGGAGCAGCTAGAATTTACCATGTGACACACGTCATTACGTGTGGTCATAAACGAGATACACCATTATCGTCAAAATTTTGCCTTACTGTATTTGCTTTCCACTACATATTATGAATTTTTTGCAACTCCGATGACGTCCGTCCGCACATTCATCCATTGTCGTCATCTACTGCTGATTCATCCATGATATTTCAACAAGTGGTTATCAACGGCGCATTTTGTTTTGATTCTACTTCTGTGCAGAACAGATTTGACGAATATATTTCGTTCTGTAATGCGTCGGTTACAAATGCTGAATGGAATCGATGTGCAAATAAAAATGACTTTTGTTCGTTCTACAATACCAAGTCTTTGTGCATATATGTATTTTCTATCACTTTGTGCGGGTATGTCGCAGAAAAATACACCTACAGGTCTCAGCAAGATGAGTCATTGGACTTCTTCTTGAGTTCTTCTATCAATAAATGCATGGGCGAGAAATAGTTACGTTATTTATCAACAGGTATCACAAGAACACGTCATTAAAATCTACTGTTACATTATCAGTGTCCCCTTGGTAACCACATGTAGGCGCACTAAAGGACATATATGTGATTCTTTATCAACGTCACTCGTGAATATGTGTTTGACAAACTCAGTGCACATATATATATAGAGGTATAGTTACCCGTTCAGGAATTAGTTGACAACAGAAGCCTTTCAGTATTATCTAGAACTACATTTCAAACTGATTTTTGAGCATTTGTTAAATTCGGCAACTGATTATAGTGCATCACATTACATTTTACAAATATTTTTAAAGAATAAAGATGACATCATTGTTGACACTGTCCGTTTTGGCTCTTTTCGTCGTTGGATCAGAACAGCGACAACAAGAACACGACCCGGAATTCCTTGTGGGTGTGGAACCGGGTGATACCGATACGAGCATGATTATTTTTTATAAAATCCCACGCTTGATCGACTACCAAAATCGAACTGAGCATAAATATACGATTATGTTGTTCGATGAGACAGGTACCAGTACGTTTGCACCAATTTCAATGTTCAATTTGACGCGTGATAATGCTACCAACGAAATCAAAACATTTGTTATTGATAGATTGACTTTAAAACCTGGACGCATCTATGTTATTTGTACTCAAACTACTTTCGTTCACAATAGCGGTCTCATATCAATGAATGGCAAAGATGGAATGGAGTGTGCAGCAAATCGAACAACATCAAATGGTACAGTGCTTGTTCCGCCTGAAGTAACGTTTGGTAGTATGACGGGGAATACTGATCGAGGCTTTCAAGTTACTCTTCATGTTCCCGTGGAATTGCCCTACTTTGTCAGACGAATGGACGCCAAATTGGAAAGAAAATCAGCGACTGGCTTGACTTTTGCACGGAATAATACTCATCAACAAGTAACCTTTATTTTTACCAATGTAACAGATCTCAATAAGCTACCATACGAGTTGTGTGCATGGACAGACTCCAGTGGTCCATTGATCAAAGAGACCCCGTGGGTGTTCGATCAATGCGTTTCAATCTTGTCTATAGACAGTTCTGCTATTGGCGTCAGTGCCAAGATTCTGTTGGTACTGTTCTCGTTTGTATTCATCACTTGGATTTAATTGTGTAAATCTTCCCTTGTCACAAAAAATAAAAACTACTATCTTTCGCTCTGAAATAAACTATATAAAGTAGCAGTGTGTGTTGTATATGAATCCTGAACTCAGAGGTGTCAAAGACTCCTATTGGCACTTGGAATGGCTTCGCCATAGCATCAGCGAGAGTCAAAAATAGTACTCTCTGAAAGAACTCAGCGTCAATCACAAAAGGTTAGGGAGTCGGAGTAAATGATTGATGTTCTAGATCATTAGATGGAATGGTTTCTGTTCTCAACTGATTGACGTTGCATCTGCATACTCTCTCACCGTAAAGGACTTTCTTGGCAAGCATTTGAAAAACATTCGAATAGATGTGTGGGTGTAGTCCTGACGAATACCCACACGCACACCAATATCAGCATCCATACTCA